TTCCAGAATCTATGAATATGTAAGTGTTAATACATGGCTGAAGGGGATCTTTAAGTGGTAACATTAAATGTGTGTAGGTCATTAAGAATTCTGTTTTTAGCCACACTAGCAGTGCAGAAATAGGGATGGCAATCTTGGTCAGCTGGTTGGTTTACCACTTTGGTCATCCCTTAATTTATGGAAATTATACTTTTTATGTGGAAAAAACAAATCGCACACACATATTCCAAGCAAACTGTTTGTATGTGTTTTAATACATGTCTGGAAGGGATCTTTAAGTTTTGAGCTCCCCCTATAAATCCTGATGAGTTGGATCTGACCAAGCATGAGCATGGACAAACAGCATATTTTATTGTTTCATTTGGAGGACTTGTTGTGCAGCATACAGGTAAACGTCAGCACCTATGCTCTGCCTTGTGCTGCAGCAATAGCACAATGAAGGTAATGATCCAGAAAGATCTCAACAAATAACTAATGATAAATAAAGTCATTATGATAAATTAAACAATGTGTCATTTTGTGTAACTGTAATATATATATAATTATGACCAATGTTTCATGACAAAATAGCAGTACTGAATGCACCTAGGAGACATGTGACTGGGCCTTTAACAGTTATCATAACAGTAGAATGATTTGTGATACAAGCAAATACATACAGAAATGTAATGTAACGCAATTGTATAAATCAATAAATCAACATTAGACCTGTGGCATAGTCAAAGCCGTATCTTCAGTGATGTTCTCAGAGTGTGACAGAGGTCTTGAGAGCTAATGCCTCTATTGTGGCCGCTGCCACTGGACAGCTGTAACACAGGGCTGATTACACCCGTCCTGACCAATCGAAGGCCATCACAGCTCGACTTGTGTGACAGCCCTTCGCTCAGCTCACCTGCTCTTACCGAGACAATGACAACAGGAGCACAGAATCCATCAGCGTGCGTTGTGGTGAAATTGATTGTTGCAATCAATATCAACCAGTGAAGCCATTGGCACTACCGCTGCTGCTGCTAGAGGAGGAGGAGGCATCAGGAGTGCTTTGCCTTGTCTGTGATCTATCTATCTTTAGGCAGTGGCTAGGCATGGGATCAATATGCTACAGGCAGCTCATATTTCACTGGTGGCCCAGCAGGGATGAGAGGGCGGGGGGGGGAGGAGAAGGAGAAGGGGAAGAGGGGATGATGGCATGGCTTTGCAGGGCTCTTGGGGGTCAATGCAGAGAGCAGGTAGCGTGGAGCAGAAACAGGTGATATGGATGCAACCAAAAGGTGAGAAAAGGAGACAGAAGTTTTGGGTGTGACGTAGGAGTCAATAGTGCAGCAGAGGCTTACACGCTACATGGACGGCAGCGCAGCCTGACAGCTTGTCGATTCAGTGAATTTATAATGAATGTTCTTTTATTCTCCTCTTTCTCTAACCTTTCTCTTCTCCTTTACTCCCTTTATCTCACCTCCCTCCTTCCTCTCCTCCTGTCACCTCCCTTCCTGTCTTCGTTTGGGGCATCACGCCAGCCCTCCCTTCCCTCCCGCTCTCCCTCCCTGTCACAGACTCATGTAGCCTATCATCCTCCTGAGAGTTTAAAAAACAAAGAGTTATATGAAAGGCGCTTAGTCGCATTTCCTCCTACCCCTGCTGTTGCTGTGTCCTAATGATGCAAATGTTAGGCCAGCTAATGAGCAGGAGTTATGTTTTGGCTGAAGTTTACCGAGCTGCTCGACCACCCTGTCTCATGAATAATATCACAGTGTCAGACTCAAGATGTGTGTTCTTCTCGGCTTACAAATAATGACCATTACAGATGGTGCTTTCTCAAATTACATATGAGAAAAAAAAGACAGTTGTTGGTCCTTAATGGTGTCCAAAGGAGTAACTGGGCCTTTAAAAAGGAAGGCAATGAAAATTAATTTAAGGAATTCAAATGTAAGCAATCTCCCCTGTCTGAAATAACACACACATAGCACACACACACAAACACACAGGAGCAGAAAAAGTGTCTGAAAACTTCAGGTGGAACTCTGAACAACCCCTCACCTGTGCAAGTTGCATAACCTTTTGACTCTGAGTTCATTCTGGCTGTCACCTAACACACATGCCTCAACCAATAGATGTTGGCTCTGTGTTATTACAACAACCCTTATGGCGGCTTGCATTTCGCTCCCTCCCCACCTCGTGGCTTAATCCTCTGTGCTTTTGCCCTTCAGTTTTTCAAAGACAGCCTGCGGGCTAGAATTGCCCTTTGCTGACTTGTGGCTGACAGTGAATAAGTTCCCCTCTCGTCTCCTCCCTTTTATCTCTGAGATCATACTCTGAGTAGGTCAAGATCAATGGTGCTCCCTGCAAATCTGCCCAGACTCTGGGTGCTTCTCATTGACCTTACACAGGGGTAACTGAACACTCCTACTCTCATCCAGCCAGATTTTACATGAACGTCTATGGATAAATTCACTGAATGCTCGCAAGGCTCTCGTTAAAAAGTCATGGACCATGTTGGTGCAGGCCAGTTTCTGCTCTATTTTTCATTTCTAACATTTCACTATAACCTCTGAATAGTTCGATAAGTATGTTAGTTATATAACTTAAGGTATGGAGCATGACTATGTTACATGACTTGAGTTAAGTTATGTTATGTAAGTAAACTTAAAATAACAAAAAGTTGACTTTTTGGTTTCACACAGGACCATGGACATATAAAAGATGGACGACATGCCAGCAGTCTCCTGGGTGAAAGTCTGGATGTGTTTGACCCATTCATCGACCTCGGCCTAACCCTAACCCTATGCAGCCCTAATGGCTCTTTATACTATGTCACCTTATTTCCTCCTGTCATAATTACTACGACTAGATACACGTAAATATGGGTTGTAATAAGCTGCTTGCACAGACGACCTATACAGCCGTTTCTCTGGTTCAGTTCTTCTTGGTCTCAAACTGTGAGCTGCACTCCTGACATGTATCTGGCTGAAGTCAACCTAGGTGAATCTGACAAGCAGACAAGTGTTAAAAGGTTTCATCACTGCTCAAGAAATAAATAAATGGTTTAGAAGCAAAGAGTCAGCCAGCCTTTCTTAGTACATAAAGATCTTTCAGAAGTACCACACTTATTGAAAAACTGATCATCCAGTCTTGTTAAGAAACTTCCATGATTTGTACATTTTTAATACCACCTTTATATTTCTAAACCATTTCCATTGAGACTTATATGAATACAGCATTTGGAGTACAAATGACAAAAATCCCAATAACCAAGGACGTGCTGTGACAGGGTGATAAATGGCTTTACATGATAGAACAGACAGACTCTGGACACTGCAAACTTCTAGACAACAACCGAAAGAAAAAAAGAAAAAAAAAATCAATTTCAGGTATGGCATAGAATTAATGCGCCGCATTGACTGAACTGAGGGACAAAGTCTTCCTTAGGGATGGACTGTAATGTAAAAGCACCAGCATATTGTCAGTACCACAGTAAATAACTATTGCATGTTTCTTGGAGTAAAACATGACTGAATAACATGCCTAAAATAGATGACAGCAACAAATAAATGCTTAAATATAGTGAAATATTTGTATTCTGTCTTTTGAAGTGCTGCATCAAGACAATAAAAGCGCGAGAAGCAGAGTGTAAGCGATGCAATTGCCGTCCTCAAGCCTAATACAGATCAAGACAGCAGAGACAGCAGCCAGGTCCACATACAGCTGGGTCTCACATCCAACGGGATCCCTGTGAGACCAGCTTCAACAAGATGGATGACGGGCACTGAGCTTCAAACTGGGCGCACTCAGCCCAGACATCATTGGGTCCGGGCTGAATAAAGAGGTGGTGGCCCCTCGCCTGCTCTTCCCTAATAGGAGGCGCTGCCTGGCTGACAGCGGCCCATAAATAACCCAGTCGGCGTGTCACTGGAAAAGAACACACTCACCTGAGCACACTCACTCAACAGGATCACGAGGGAGAGCTGAGACGCAAGGGCTACAGTTATGGAATGGCAACACAAGTGTGTGTGAAGGTAGGTCACAAAAACACATTTTGACTTTTATATACTCGTTTTTTTTTTCACATGCATGGTATCATTCATAAAACAAGCACTGCATCATCAGCAAAACACCAACCTTAATGTATGCCAGATACTGACACTAAATTAAGTTTGACTAATATTTTTCAACCAATCAAAACTGTGATTCTGTGTCCTCAGCTGGCTCTTCTCTCTAAACCTCATTCTGTTCTCCTTTTCTGTCTTTTTCAGAGGTGAAAACCAGGACTGGAGACATTCTGGGAGCAGAATCAAAAGAGAGGGCACTTCTTTCAGAGTTGCTCTTTTAGCACAGTGACCCAGCGAAGAGACACCAGTCCACTCAGTAAAAGACTGACACTTCACCTCTGCTCAACTTAAAAATGGCCTTGTTGGACAGCAGAAAAAGTGTTGTCTTGATCCTTCAAGTAGGGTGTCATCACCCCATTCGGACAACATTACAGACGAGACAACGCATGGCATCACTCTCTCAGTCTACAAGAGAAAACAAAGTAAGAGTTTGCTGGTCTGTGATTGTTTCGCTCACTGTTTCTTCTGTGCCTGTGGCAGATCTGAGGGATTACATCCTTCGGCACTGTTGAGAAAGAAAGTTTGAACGTTAAGTGCTCTTTTACCAAATAGCTTGTAAAACAACCCAATGGAACTTGTTACAATGATCCAGCATTTATCAGAAGTGGCCCAAAATATTTCTATTTTTGTAATCTCTGCAGTTTTGTTGCTCCAGGCTAATTCGCTTCATCAACCACAAGGGGCCTTTCTCATGTATCTGATTTGTGCCTCCTCGTCTCCTTTCTCCTCTGTGTCCCTCCTCGATTCCTCTCCTCGATTCCTCTCCTGGCATCTTAGTCCTGGCAAACGAGAAAGGCCTAAGGTTTCCCTCAAACACCTGCGAGCCAAACAAGGTGGAGCTGCCACGGAAACCTCCCTCACTGGCGTCCGACATCACGTGGGTAGCGTGCGTCGTGACGTCACGCGGAAGTAATTCGACCAAGATGGCAGCGTCCTTGACAGGCATGTTTTGATGGGAGCTGAGTGTAAACCATGCAGAACAGATGAACACTTACTGCTGCGCGACCGACAAGAGAAGACTTTGAGAGCGGGACATGGAGAGACGAGAGTTCGTCGCGTCCCTGGTGGTAAGGTGGCGGTTTTCTACAATATGTCACGGTATGTGTGAGTGTTGCCATCAAACAACCTCCAGTTAACTCACATTTAATCCCATTTTTTGGCCGGTTACTTGAAATAGAAGATCAGTTTACCACAGGAACTTACGTCGTGTATGTATTTTGTTCGTGTCCTGCATATAAGCCAAAAACAATGTGTCCGTTTGCAAAGTATAGTGTCAGATAAGCTAGAAACCAGGCTGGACCCTAAGGACCGGTGTGACTGTGTAACGGTGTAACGGTGTGCCTGTGTAACGTACTGCAGCAGCAGGTTAATGTTATTTTAAATCCTAAAGGACGACGACGGGTCTTCTTACCTTCGCAACTAACGTTATACAACCTCAAATATTTTAAAATAATACTGACATGGTGGGAGGTAGCTAACTGTTCTTTCACAGATGAAGCTAGACACAAACATGTCCATTTATGACACATTTTAAGGCAGAAGCTGGCTCTGTTTAGTTCCAGCAGTTAGTGCGGACAAGAGCATCTCTCTGGCTGTCTGTGTGCACGAGCCGGGGGGCGGGGCCTTTCACAGGACAACTCATTAATGGTCATTGTCCCTCTCTGGGTTCATTTCTCTGGCAGAACAACAATCAAATGTTACCGCTTTAACACAAAATGACAAAGTGACAGGACGCTGCTCAAATGTTTGGGAAAATGAGAACCTTTTGTGTTCCTACAATGAGACACAATGAAGGGGAAAGGAATATCCTCGGTAAAACTTAATTTTGTGATAGACAGATGTGAGTGGATATGTGTGAGTAGTGAATTATGTTATTGCACATTTACCATTATTTGTAATGTACAGTGATAGAAAGTAAATACGAGTACATGGTAAGTATACATTTACAAGTACTAATTGTACAGAATTTTGAGGTACTTATACTCGAGTACTTTTATTTTATGACCTCTTGTCACTGAGTGCGACCCTCCGGCATCATTACTTTCTACTTCATAAGGAAGTATTGTAGTTTTACTCCAATACATTTTTGTACGTTTATTTTATTGATATTTATCTGCTTTGCTAGTTTTTAAATACAAAGTTTAGTAAATCAGTTTATATAACTATGATGCATTGTTATAGATTAGTCTAGCCACCAGCAGGTTATAAGGTGGGTCAAATTAGCTCCACCTTAGTCCCCACCCATATGTGTTTTTTTGTTTTGTTTTGTGTTGTTGACTTATTTATTTATTTTTCTCACCTGTTAACCCTTAACTGGCAGAATCTCCAACACGGCTGCTGCCTGCTGTTGTGGCAGCTTTGGACTTTTCTTGGAAACTTTGGATTTTGCTCCCCTGTCTGTGTTTCTGTTAGTTTGTGTAGTGGTACTGGGAACTTTGTGTGTATTATGCGTGTTTATTGTTCTAAGAAAAGAACAAAAGCTCCACCTGACCAGCTGCAACATTAAAATAGTGCTTATACATGAATGCATTATTAATACCTATATAAATAATTCATAAAGACAACATTTGTATCTAGGTAAATATTACTGAAAATTACATATTATTGTTACTTTAAAGCACAACATTGTTTAGGTTGTACAACCTGCATCTTTACTGGTTTGGTTCACCCGGGCCGCTCACATCAGCATGGCTTATGGCAGCAGCTGATAGCTGAATCCACTGTGCTACACTGCCTGCCCAGCATTGAACAGCAGACAGGCACAGTTAGCAAAAGGAGAGTGAATATGAGCTTACATATGTCAGGTTGCCCTGTGTTTGCTGGATATATAAAGAAATAACTGCCAACATGTTTGCCAACTTTAGAAGATGAAAATATGTTAAGTGTTATGTTTACAGCTTGTTGTTTTGCCCTCAAGTGGTCAAAAAAAGAAGCAGGTTATAGAGTGTGTATTGTGGCAATATGTTGCACAAATTGATCTTTGTCTCTCCAGGCAGGAGGCTGTGCAGGGATGTGTGTGGATCTGACCCTCTTCCCCCTGGACACCATTAAGACACGACTGCAGAGTCAGCAGGGCTTCTACAAGGCAGGGGGCTTCAGGGGAATCTACGCTGGAGTCCCATCTGCTGCTGTCGGCTCCTTCCCCAATGGTGAGCTGCTCCTTGTGATATACTATGTTCCAGTGACGGTTCACCGTTCTCCCAAAAGAACATACCAAACAATCTAAGATCATTCAATTATTTCAAGTTAAACTTTATTTATATTTCTTTATTTCCTTTTAACAAATGCAATTGTGCAGTACAGTCACATGTTCAGAGACACAACACAGGCATAAATGTCTTTAGGAGGCAGTCCGTGATTTTCAGCATCCTCATACATGGTTCCCATGAACAGAGCTAAATAATGACTTTTGTCTATTAACCCAGAGAAAGTATACATTAAAAAAGAATAACAACATGTAGTTTTAATATTTTAATTAGGAGAAAATAAATCCATTATTGTACTGTGTCTTAGCTCACATCAGTTAAAGCAATATGAAATTATTGGGGACCACTTATTTAATAATATTTTTGGTGAGATTAGACTCTTTTGTTGCAAAATTCTTTGAGGAAATTTACGATTATGGAGATGATATCATTTTATTACAGTCAGATTAAGATGGTGGAATCTTACAATAATTGATGCTCTGCACTCTTCTTTAAATGTGGGGATAGTGATTTTGGAGAAAGATAGTTATAAATATAGAATATTGAAATGTATGTATTTTAGTGTTGTACAGTATGGTATTGTATTGAGATATTTTCTTTTGTGATCTGATATTAAAGATCTGATTATTTTTGTTTGGCTGTTTACATTGTCTTTTGAATGTGGACCATATCAGAGTCCAGTCTGAACAGAACAGATCACAGTCCTGAAGTGGCCCACATGATTAATGTCAATAAAGAGTGACATAAAAGTCACATGAATTCTGATATGATACGTCACATTGCAGAGAATCAGACCTGGATCTGATTTAGGCCTCATATGAATGTGGAATTATGTGATTTGGTCTGTGTGACACTGTCTTGAAAAATTCAGATCACAGGTCACATATGAACATACTGGTTACTTTCTGCCGCATCAACAATTGACCACCCCCCTTCAGGACCAGACTGCATGAACAAAAACAGTTTAGTGCTATCTGTAGAAGTTTTAAATACAAAAATAGTCTGAAGATTCACTTTAGATTGAAGCTACTCTAATTGGGTACTGTATGGCTCAGATAGAAGCACTGGCATTTGATAATCAATAGAGCATTCAATCAAGCATTAATCTGGTGACTAAGCTCAAGCCCTTTTCATGAGCATATCAGAGAGTGACTGATAAAGATGAGAGATATATGTTATATATGTTATATAT